TTGACGCGTGTTTCGCTAATCAAGTTGGCGTTCTAAGGAGATCATTGAGTCACAATGGACGCTTTCTTGATTAGCGTCGAGAGACCGTAAAATTGTTCTGGTGTTGGAAAAGTGTTTTCAAAAGATTCATTTTGCGTCAGAGGTTTCAGTACGAACTATCAAGGGTGAAAATTGTATAATTATTTGAAGGAACAATTTGTCTTCCTTCACCTAGACAGAACTCAGAAAGCCATTACTCCCCTGGCTAAAATATCACGTAGACCTTTGAATTATATCCAATAGGTGTCAGAGCACAGTTCTTCACAGAAGTGATTTCTGCATATGCTTTTGAAGATGCAACTACCGGAATCGATTTTCAATTATTTAAACGGGCACAGTGGCAGACTGGTTTCGGGTTGTTTGTCCTTTTGTCAGTGCAAGGTAGTGTCTATTATCAATATGAAGTCGAAAATTTCATATAATTGAGAATCGAATATTTTAATTAGAGTATCAACTCTGAAGCGTACGACAAGAAACATATCTGCCATCGTCCCCTCAGCCTGTAGACGAGGTTCTAACCAACTGCATATCCAAGTAGCCCAAATCGTCGTACAAGAAAATAAATTTCACTTAGAGTAAGAGGGGATACTTGAAGACTGGCTTTGAATTAATTTGGATATGCGGTTGGTTAGTACCTTGTCTACAGACAGAGGGGGCGATGGCAGATATGTTGCTAGTCGTTCGCTTCAGCTTTGTTTGAGGTATGATAATCTGGAAAGATTTGATTTTTGTTTATAGGAAATCATCGACTTCGTGTTGGTGACGAGAGGCCAAATAGCCCGAAACCGCTCTGCAAGTGTGACTGTTCCAATAATTGAAATTTGATTCTGGTAGTTGTATCGCCAGTCTTCAAGTATGTCCACCTACTGTAGGGAAAATTATTATCAAGTAACGGCTCAGTGTATTCAAAATATGTTTCTTTATTGATAGAATAATAGTTTTTATTCGGACCATGAAGTTGAAAACGATATCTGTTCATTCGAGTTACGGAAGAAGTTCTACGGAAGGAAATGAAAATTGAGGCGAAATTATTTCCAAAATTACCTGTGGCCATCTGGTTTAGGAAAAATATCTGAACCAGACATTCAATCAAACATAATAGGTACTGAAAATATCAGAGAAAAGAATAGGAGGAAAACAATTATTTCGCTGTCCATTCTCTGAAGACGACTAGACCAGAGTCCAGAAAATCCTTGATGTATTCAACTACCAGTACTGATCTCCTGGAGAAGAAAATTAATTTAGATGCTTCGAAACAAAGACGCTATCTTATATATGAAGAGAAGAAGACGAAAAAATACTATCTATAAATAATGTTTATTTTGTTATGTAGCGTATCCTTAAGTCAGTTCAAATGTTATCTAACCTCAATCATCAATTATTCAAATCAAATGAATAAAAAAACATCCTAGCAAATAGCCCAAACAAATTTCCACATGAATGCGCATGAGCAACGAGAACAGTTCTCAACAGTTCAGCCTCAAGAGCAAGAACGATTCGGGACGGTTAAAAAATCCTGACGTTCTAGAACCTGAATTTCGTAGAACCAGAACAAACCTTAGAATACACAACACTCCGATCGGAGTGGGTGGCATCTCTGATTGATTCCCGTATACTGAGATCGGAGTAGGTAGTTGGTGCTCAACCTGTCAAGAATATGAAAATTCGATGCTGGAGAAAATATAGAATATGCATTAGACCTCCGTGGGAGGTCCCAATCAATTCGGACAACCCATTAGTTTAACCTGAATGATAAAAGTGGTTCAATACTAACAGAAAATAAACCTCGTGAAAAATAAAGCATTATCCATGCTTACCTTGAAGAAATATTCATCATCGAAAAACTAAATTTCTGAAGAGATCGACAAACGCAGTCTTCATTGGAGAAACAGTATAATTCAGTAACATGAAAATTCGATGCTGAAGGAAATTCAGGATATCAATGGGAAATGTTCCTCAATATGGGTTATTACAGCAAATGCAAGTTTGAACAAAATAAAGTTGAGTTTAATTCATGAGTTTTTCAAATTCACTTCGAAAAGTATTCAAATTGATGTTTAATAAAAAGGAAAGGATGGGATATTTGAAATGGGATCTTTGACACCGTTCATAGTTCTCATGCCATACTTAGCTATTTTCAGACTTTTGAAAAATCTAGTGTCATGTAACGATCTCAACAATTTCAGACAGTTTTCATTTATTCTATAGCCGTTCTCCACACCGATTTTGTTGGTCTCCGCAATCGGATATATGATGCATATTCTTTGAAATGAGTTTCAAATAGCTCGTTTAATCTGACCAATGTATTTTGGTCACAATCCTCACAGTTGAAGGAAGGGAAGAGCTTGAACTGGCTAAGTCCAAGCGTTCGAGGCTTTTGATTGTCTCTTTATCGGGAACTCTACAATTATTGTTTTAATTCAATGAATTGTGTTGAACAACATTGTACTACTTACGGAAGTAAGCTTGTCGTGCCGTGAATACTATCAATATCAAAAAGTTTTTCATACACTTCATAACTTTTATCTACTCCGCGAATAAAAATCAACACCTGAGCAGTATCTGACACATCCGTTAACTCATCCAATGCTGGAGAAAACCACTCATGATGTCCAACGCTATAATCCGTTAGTATATATTGGTTCATACAAAAAACAATAAACTTTGAATTTTGTACCTTTCAAAAAAAACGAAGATAAACAGAGATTCTCTCTTGGGTTATGTATTCTAATTGAGGAATACTCGTTGCTTTCACCTATGTTCCTGATAATACTTGGACCAATTGAATATTGACCCATCATTCCATCCACACATTCACTGACTATCTGTGTTGACTATGGATAAATCTGAATTAACGCGTTGTCTAATACCCACATAAAAAATTCAATTCGTTTTCCGTGATCGTTTTCGTAAAGTTTGTGGTGAAGCTGGATTTTACAGGAATTTCCTCTCAGAATTCTTGATACGTTTGCTTGACTGATGCCAAATTTTTCCACAATAAGGTTTTGACTTGTATGGAGTTTTATCACAGTTTTTCGTACTGGACACTTTCAGTTCGTCTAAATAGTGTCAACAATCTTTCGAATGCTGCTTTATTTCGATGTTTTCTGTTGGGAAATCTTTCAGCGTAAATTTGCGATGCCAGAAAACAGTTTTGAAGACATTCTCTAAGTATACAAATCATGTCAATACTTTCTTCTTTCGGATTAACTATATATTAGAAACAACCGGTATCACACACAGTACAATTCGTAATTGAACACTAATAAATAACTGGTGAATTATAATACAACTTGTGAGAACACAATAGGCGACTTGATTAATGCATTTCTCAAAATCGATTTGCAAAATGAAAATGTGCATTTTTTACTTGTTAACTATCAGAAGACGGATGAATTTGACATATGCTGTGGATATGAAATATGGGGCGTTCCATTTAAATCAAACAAGTTATTGCCATTAGGAACTTGTACTTATTTGGCCTTAAATGCACACACTTTGCCATTCTCAATGGCGAACATCAATGTTTCGTAATGAGTTACTTGCCTCATCGCCTCTCCAAAACGGAAAAGAAGAAGGCTGAAACCTTCCTTCCCTTCAAATATGAGCCCGTAACAGAATCAGTGGCAACGCAAGACCTAAACCCACATAGCAATAGATATTCCAGGTATATTTCATGAATATACATTTAAGGATATTGTATTATGCTATGAATATGCCATGGATATATATATCTTCTGGAGAATATTCCCTGGAAGTGCTCCTGGCGAACCTTTGATATATTTTAAGAATATTCCTTGGGAATATTCTTGGAATATCTTATAATATTCTTAGAATATCTAAGGTANACATTATTTCAGTCATTAAGAAACGTTCAGGTTCCAACATTTTCACTTATGTACTTTTTTAGAACATAAAAATAAGTACAAAATAAAAAATTTAAAAAAAAACGACACAATAGTAATGAAGAACCTCATGTCTAGGTCGCTGTATCAAAATCGTCACGTAAGTTGCCGAGTTGTCCTTTGTAGATGGTTCTTGTTGCAGCATCAAGTCAAAGTAAAAATGTTATTATACATACTCTTGAAAATATACTCTTCATAATCTTGGAAATGAGCTGGTAACTTTTGTACAGTTCTATCGATTTTCATGAAACGTATATAAGAACCATCCCGACATAATAAGCTTTTAAATAAAAAAAACCACATCGAAATCGATCTACTAGTATAGGTGCTACAGTGCCGTAGAGAGACACACAGAAACAGAGGTCAAACTTATAACATCCTTTTTGCGTCGGGAGTGAAAAATGAAAAAGAAAAGAATGAATTGAAGAAACAAAAATGTTCTACTTTCGATTTTACTGAACTTTCTAATTATTGGTTCGTAATTTGTCTTTGATACTATATCTGTTTCAATGAATAAAACTGCCAAAGCTGAGAGTCTTTGGATTTGCCATACTTTTTTGTAATGTATTTTCGGCTTTGAGGCGTGAGGGCTTTTGCACCGCGAGGTCGTAGGCGGTCGCCAATACCACCCACACCTAACGCTGCCCCTGCAAAAAGGGTGGCTAAATGAATTAACGTGGAACATAGCACTTCTGAAAGTAGTCTGATCCCTTCCGATTTCAATTCGACTGGATTTTATGGTAGGATTTCCCAGAGCAATATTACTTGTCCAAGGTATCCCGCTTAATTGTAAAGCACCGTATTGTGAAATAGCAGAGGTAGAACTGAAAATTTGCCTTCATTCTTCTTTCTTTAATTTCCATCGCAAATATTTTATTCTACAGGAACACCAAACTCATATCAATATTCAGATCTCGTCTTCAAAATTTTCCTACGAAGGAAGCAATATTGAATTTCACTTCAGTATTTTTTTTATTGGAAAATTATTGACGCTTCTCATCAAATATAGCTTTCAAATGAGATATTTGTGAACCTTCATTATCGTTTTATTTTCAGTTTTGAAACAACGCCAGAGATGAACCAGCAAGAGAATCATTCAAATTATGAAAGGGAAGGGAACGATATTACGGCAGCTGACATGGTTGTTCCGGAACAAGACAGCGATCTATTGAATTTCTATGAAAATTCTACAATATTCATTACAGGTGCTACTGGATTTTTAGGAAAATTATGCATGGAAAAATTATTACGAACCTGTTCGGTTAGAAAAATTTACATCCTTGTCAGGTCAAAGAAAGGCAAGGATATTGAGAAACGATTTGAAGAACTCTTTGACGAACCGGTAAGTATATTATCAATACTTCAAACTACACTCACTGAAAAAAAATGAACTTCATATCGTTGAAAATATCTCATTGATTATATTAAAAGGATTATATCTTTAGGAAAGACTAATTTATGGGAAAGTTTTTGGCTTACTACTACTCCATTTTGATACAGAAAAATGTAGGAAACTTCCAAAGAAAGGAAGGAAGTAATCAATTTTAAAAAAAGTAACTGTATACGTAGATCATGCAAAGAAGTAACTTTCAGACACGAATCTGGAAAAAAAAGCCCTCCTCAAACAACTACTTCCATATAAACATTGAATTACACGAAAGAAAAATTATTTCGAAACAAATACTTTTATATGAAGACTAAATTATACAAAAGACACTATCATCTACTCAGTTTGTATTCCAAACATTCGTTATGGAATAAAATCAGATATCATTCACAGGAGTTTAATAAAAAAATTGCACTTACATGGAACAATGCCATCCTCGCTGGAAGACATCGATTTTTCGCTATAAGACACTTGCCTTAGGGTTCTTCAGTACCCATCTGGATAACATTATAAGAAAAAATACACAGTTGATTCATGAATTACGATTGTTATTTCACGGAATAAGTTTGATATACGTATGTCATCGATGACATCGTAATTACATTTCGTCCTAGAGACAAATATGGAAGTAATAAATCAGAAAAAGGGATTTTTTATTAATTCTTAAATCAAAATCTGATGACTGGACAATGAGAAGAGAAAATTTTGCTATAGTGAATGTTCAAAAACGTTTCCATCAACTTCCATATAATGGTAAAAATGAGCTTGTATTGCTGCCCTCACATGGTTGAGGATTTCGAGAGGTTTTTCTCTGCAATACCTCATGATATTCTCTCTCAAATCTTCCAATGTTGTTGATTCTATCTCATACACTCATAGATAGAAATCTAGAGGAGTGAGATCCAGGAACCTTAGTGGAGCTGCATAATGATGAGGTGCATCATCCTGCTGAAAAACTATTTCTTTTTCAAATAAATTTATATCCTCCTCAATTGCCCTATTGATGCACGGTATTATTCGATTCTTCAACATAACGAAATATTTATCACTAGTCAAATTATCATCGATAAAAAAGGTACTATGATGTTGTCATCTAAAATTCCTGCCCAAACATTAAGTTTTTGAGGTCGTTGGGTATGAACTTGACGATATACCTACATGAGGATTCGTATCACTCCAATATCGACAATTTTGCCGATTTACCTCTCCATTCAAACTAGAAGTACATTCAACCGAAAATCAAATTTTATAAAAGGAATTCGGATGCAAGTTGATCCTTTTAGTGAGACTTTCTCAAAACTCGATACGTCTATCGAAATCATCTTCGTTCAATGCATGGTTTAATCTTATTTAGATGAAATTTGTACTTATGAAGGATCCTGAAAACATTTGTACGACTGATTCCTGAGATAAATTAGCAAGAGATTTGCCCGATTTCGGGTTTTAGAGTGACTCTGTGTTTCAAATGTTACGTATATCTCAAATAAATACTGAGGTTTCTTTTGAGAGATCAATTTTTGAGTTGCAACAAGAAGGTGCAGTTGCCTAATTTTAATCAGTCTGAGCCAGCCAGATTCCTCAAATTCAGCTGAGATATGATCAAACTTTCTTACACATAAGAGAACCGTATACAGTTGTTCTGAATTTTCTGGAGGCGTTTCATATCCGATACTATTATGGCAAACCCATAGATGATATTACAGCAAGATACTCTGGATAATATCAGTGCTCCGCAAAGCTTCAGTTTAAGCCTGAATGTTATCAAGTCCCTATTTCGGTACAGCTGACGTAAGATATAAGAGTTCTGACAAATTATACTAACATGCTTGTGGAATCTGAGTTCGGAGTCTATCCACAGTCCCAGGTTTTTGCTTTCCTTTACTATCGAAAGTGTATCATTACCAAGTCGAACATCGATCAGATCTTCAATTTCAGTCCTTTTTCGTTTCGAACCTATCAGTGAAAGTTGGGATTTAGTCGTGTTCAATTCCAGATTGTGAGCAGCTGACATGTGCTCAGTACCAGATACTGATTGACTTTATGAACAGCTTCTTGCCAGTTATTTCTACTGAATGAATAGTATAACTGAGTATCATCTGCGTAGTGATGTATACGGCAGTTATTTATTATGTTATGGAAATCCGAGATGTATATTGAAAACAAAATCGGAGCAAGAATTGATCTCTGAGGGACTCCGAAACAAACTGGTAAAGCATCAGAATATATACCATCTATACATACAATTTGCTTACGATTTTGTAGGTAACTCCCTAATAACTTAACACTGTTTTTATCAAATCCAAAATACGAAAGCTTCTTACAAAAAAGTGTATGGTCCATTGTATCAAATGCCTTACTGTAATCAAGCAGTACCATTAGAGTCAATTCATTTTTATCAATTGAATTGAATAAATCCTGCGTTATCTTCGCATGAGCAGTTGCAGGAAAACTGAATGGACGGCAGAGATGATGTTATTACTATATACATATGAATTAATCTGATCTTTGAAGATCAGTTCGAATGCTTTAAAAAGAAGAGGCAGTTTACTGATAGGCCTCAGGTGTGATAGTTCTGTTGGATTATCACACTTCGGTAACGGTAAAACAATAGGTTCTTTCTATGAAGTGGGAAAGCTGTTTGTTTCAATTGCGGTATTGGATATATGTGTGATGTGGGTGATAACGTAGTACAGACTTACTATTTCAAACCGTTCTCAAAGCGTATAAACCATTGCTTTTCAAAAATTCACCAAAACAGAAACACCAATGGTAACCTAACCTGGTAAGTAATCGTTTTTGTGAAATGAGACAAATACAAAATTAAGAGAATATCGAATTCAAAGTTAACTAGGCAAAATAAGACTATTTTGAAGTAAACTTCACAAAAACACCTATGAAATCAAGGTAACAGATTGTACATAAGTTCATTCAGGGTGGCTTGTTTTCAACTCAAATAATTTTCAGCTTCCAAACTATGGACTTCAGACCATAATGTGTTCTACTTTTTTGAAATATGTTCATCATGGAACATCTGATAATGAAAAACAATTCATCCATTTAAAAAAATGGTGACATGCTTTGTGTCCCCCTGTATACTATTGTTGAGGTGAACTTTTATTTTTGCTGAAAATCATTGTTCCAAAAGTTTTATACTTTGGTGAAATCTGCTCATCGTGAAGCATCTGATGATGCGAAACAATGTAGGGCGATCCATTAAAAAAAATTGGTGACATGCTCTGGGGGTGAGCTGGGAAAGTAACATCAAATTTGAATATGTCAAAATATGTCTCCCTGTATACTATGGATGATGTGTTTTTTCATTTTTCCTGCAAATCATTGTACCAAAAGTTATTCAGGGTGGCTCGTTTTAAATGGAATGCACTGTATATAAAGATAAATATGTATATGCTTTCTGCACAGGTTTCTAACTCCGAAAAACTAATCTTCTCTCTCACGAATTCACAATCCCATTTAAAGGTTTGTTGTTCGATTGCCTTGTCACAAAATGGGTTGGTGAGGATTAATTTTTGTTCAAATATCTTTTAACAATGTTTCCATTATGAAGAAAGAAATCACTATTAGAATTTCATCAGTGGTAAAGAGTAATCTACAAGAGTCTGTACGTTTTGATTTGCACATATATCTTACGGATTGTTTTAGCAAAATTAAAATAGGTTATAGTAGATAACCACTACATACGCTTCGAAAACGAAATCCATATCTCAGGTGAGATTCCACCAAAGAAAAATAAACAGTCTTAGCTGTTGTTGAATCAAGTTCATTTGCGACTATTCTGCCTGCATAACAACTAGAGGACACTTTGCCACACAAGGCATGATACGATATGTACTCCTGAAAATTTTAAGCTACTTTAGTTCTCAATGATATCATCCCCAATGGGTATTTTCTCAAGTTCACATCTGAAAGTTACTATATTATTTTTGAAATATTCAAAGAAAGACGAGTTGAACCACAACAACTCTTTACTTTCATCATACCGTTGGATATGATTTTATTTCAATCATTTGCATTGTACAATTACCAAAAAATGTAGTATCATCTGTAAATAGTGTGAATTTTTCTGAGATATTTATAGTATTGAACCTTGAGGCACACCCTTACGTATTTTCCCAATTTCTAAGCGATGATTTGTTTCCACCATCTGGCTACGACCTGACAAATATGAGATGAACCAGCTCAGTATCACTCCTCTGAAGGTGTAGTAAGGAAGCTTCCGTGATAGTATTTCATGATCCACACAGTCAAAAGCCTTCGAAAAATCTCAGTATAAATTTTTTCCATAAGTGAGAAAATTGCATCATGAATGGCTTTGCCAGTTTGAAAGCCAAACTGTTTTTTATTAACGATTTTATGTTCCAACAGAAACACGGTTTCCTTATCTTGACTAGTTTTTCCTAATGTGGGATTCAGGAAAATAGGTCGATAATGCGAGGGATCATCCTGATTTCCACCACTATATAGTGGTTTTACCAATGATACCTTCAGGAAATCAAGAAACTTTCCTGATGGAAATGATACATCAATAATGTTGGTTAAGAGTTGTAATGTGTTATCTGGGAGATTTTTCAACATATTGTAATGTCGTCGTAACCAGGTGACAACTTATTCCAATGGAAACAATCACCTATTTCAGCTCATAAATATTAGTGTCAAAAAGAATGCAAGTTTCAGAAATGAAGGGGTTTTTTGAATTGTTCCATAGGATCGTTCTGAGTAGTCAATTTTTCTGCAATGTAAAATCTGTTAAAAATAACAACCATGTTCAAAAACTGTTTATTTAATAGACTGTTATGGGAAAAATTGAAATTCTTACAAAATGATATTCATTGCAAGTGAATTTTCAACAACATATCTTCCCTAGTAGTTTGGTTCATCAGCGTCTTATCATCTATGTCTGCTTGTACGTTAGAGTAGAATTTTTTTCATTCGGCCCTTTGTAAGAACTACTTTAGGTGTTGCAGATCTCTGTATTTACCTAACTTAAATGTGATTGGGTCCGAATACAAAGAGTTCAACGTCGTCGCTGCAGTGACACCTTTCTTTTTCTTAGTTTTTTTACGTTTTCTTGAATCGACGACTCACTGAACTCACCGATATATGAGCTCTTGTGCAATATGAACTTCGATCAGGGCATGTTTTCTGTACATTCCAGATATATATTGTATCCATGTTTGAAACTACATCATCTCCGCAGTATACGATGACGAAAGGTGACGGCTTTACTCTGCTATTTATTAATTCACGCCAATCATCGGGTTAACACTGTGTACTATTTAGGAAGAAATCTTGCATAGTGGACATTGAGGTTTCTTTCCCAGGAGCCCCTGGACCTAAACGCCCCTTCCCTTGGACATGGAAAATTCAATCACCATTATTTGAAAAATGAAACGAGTATGCGATGTGAAGTTCAGTGTGGAGTGGGTTTGATGCCACTTTTAACTCAAACCCGACAAATAATGGACATGAACGTTATTTCCCCAGGCCCCGTCTACGTATAAGAAAATTGAAATTTCCAGCTGGAATCTCGAAACATTCATATCTCCCAATGTACCTTCACAGTAGGTTCTCGTAAATGCCTGCCGAAAAACACCTACTTTTCTGGCTGATATTACGCTGCGCTGGACATTGTCATCGTGGTATTAACCAAATAAGTAGTTTTCTCCGTATTGCATTCATCCGAACCTATCTGAGTAGTTATGTTGAAAGAGGTGGATGTTTTGACTTTCCATTTCGAAATACTTATTTTCTTATATTTTGATGTTGGTCTTTTATTTTCAGATTCTTTAAACTAACCAGTGTTGGATACATAATTGGAAGATCTATCAAAGGAGGTATCATAGGACCTCCCTTTTCACTTGAGAAAGCTTTTGGCTTTCTCTCATCGAATAGTGTTGCTATACTATTGTTTGATTATTAAAAAAATACCGAAATTGAAGGTGTTTTGAAATCCTTGAAAGAATCAGTAAAATCAAAAAAAATAGGCGAATAATAAGCAAAAAATCCGTGAAAACAAATCACAATAAAATAAAATACAAGCAACAATTGAAAGTTGAACAATCAAAAAGTAATGATTCTAAGCCAAGTTACTTCACGACTTTTCGATTTTTAGTATTCACAGTCGTCTTCGGGTGATATCTGGGATCATTCCTCCAAGACATGACCATAATATAGTTCATTCGAGTGCTTTCATCTATTCCCTAGTTCCTCTCTCCACTTTACCGGTTTAGCAGGAGCTGACTGGCGGTGAGTTGGCCGTTTTCCGCTTGATTATGGGTTTCCATATGTTGCGTATCTCTATGTGAGGTTTTCTGAATACGTTGTTGGACAAACATTCATGCGGTTTCTTTGAATTTCCTCCGAAACCAGTGTGACTCCCTGTGGATGATCTCATCTTGGGACCATTTGATGTTATGTTGATGAGTCCAAACATGCTCCCGATTTGCTGTTTTCTCCTCGCTATGTGTGTTTCTTGTGCTCGTCAATGCGGACTCTCGATGGCCTCTTAGTTTCACCGTTATAGGATTTTCCGCACTCGCGTGATATCCATTGAATTCCATTCAATGGATTCGTTTCTTCTCATCCTTTCCTACAATCCTCTGACGCAGGAAATTGTAAGTACTAGTTGTGATGGCTCCTCTTCCTTGCTAGGCTCTTGCTGTCTTTTAGTCAAAGTCTGTTTCACCATCACTTTGGAGTAACTATTACAATGAAGATCATTTTTGATGATCCCTGGTTCCTTCTCGAGATCTTCCTTCATATAACAGAGCACGAAAGCATGGCCTATTAGAGTCTTGATGATTTCCCTTTCAGTCGATTGGTGGTGGTTGGATTTCTTTGTGTCTAGTCGTGTTGTCTTGTGTCTCTATCGTTTCTGTCTTTCCAAAATATTTTGTATATGCTTTGATGAAGTATAAAGGATCATTTGTTCTATACATTTTCACTTATTCTCACTTCGATTTCTTAAATTTTATGAAATAATTGCGAATTTTTAGTTTTTGTAGTTTTCATCGCCTTTTCCTTTTTCAGATTAGACGAACTCAATGGATATGAGTTGATCATGCATTGTTGTTGAGTTTAAATATTCGAGTGGAACGACTAGTTTTCAAGACTCCTTTCTTATCTCTCAAAATTCATGTCACTCAAAAGAAGATAAGAAGACTATTAACTGATTTTTTTTAATTTTTTTAGAGTTTTGATCCACTGAAAAGATTGAAGCCGGATTTCAGAAGTAAAGTGGAATTCATCAAAGGAGACGCTTGTCTACCAGATCTAGGAATCAGTATAGAGGATCAAGAAAAAATTATTTCGGAGGTTGACTGCATTTTTCATTATGCAGCCACAGTAAGATTTGATGAAAAACTCAGAACAGCCACTTATATCAACGTGAGAGCTTTAAGAGATTTATTGAGAATAGCAAAACACGTTAAAAAATTGAGGGTGAGTACACACAATAGCAACGTTTTCAGCTATAACCGTTATTGTTTGAATATTTTTCATATAATCATAGGTTTGATTGAAGATCGTAAATTACAAATCGAACGGGCTTTATTTTTTAGTTTTTGGGAAAAATAGCTTTTTGGATTTGTTTCTTTTGTCTTTACACAAAAATTCGGGAAGCTGCCGAAGAAAGGAAGCAATCGGCTTAATATAAAGACACATGAAATCACTTGCCAAGTGAAGGAATGTTCAACTACTAGTATAATAAGTTCACATTCATTGAGTCGAACGTGTTTCAATACAGGATCTGTATACTCTCGCTTCTTAGTTGTACAAGTTAATTTTTTAACGATACTTCAGAAGATACGTGTCCATATCAGCTTTACATGTAAATTATTCTTGTAGAATAGTTTGTAAAGACACTATATTTTTATAGGGCTAGAACAGACCACTGTTAGCTCTTGAACTATATGTTCTATTATTTCAACCCAAGTCCAAGTTACTTGATATTTCAGGTTTAAAGGGTGTAAATATCGTGTTGGTGAAGAAAGCGAAAAATTTTGGTGTCATCTTCGACCAAACACTCAAATTTAAAAAATATGTGAGTAACTTGACACGACGTGCATACTCTTCTTCTAATTTGATGTATGGGGTCAGGCAGCAACTTTCAAATGAATTGAAATTGATCCCATTTGAAGAAATAGTTTTAACACATTTCAACTGTTTATGGATCTCATTTAGCTGATCAGTTCGAACGCAAGATTCAATAAGTCCAAAACTCGTGCTTGAGACTCATTTATGGAAAAAATCATTCTCACAGAATCGCTCATAAGCTCAAAGATACCTATTGGTTGAAAATGAGTACTTGTTCCATAAAATTCTTCTTTCCAGAAAGACCGGATATATCCTTCAATTTATTGGCCCTAGTAAAAACAGACGAGCAAATTGATTATTATCACATAGTGATTATTCTAGGAGAGAAAGAACGATTATTTGCTAAAGTAAATTAGCAGAGGCGAGTTAATTTTCATTCCAGGCTCAGTTTCAAATCTCTATTCTTCGATGAAGTTCACTCTTCCAGTTTTGCAATTTTTTCTATGTTCTTTTATAGGTGCTTCAAGTGTTCTTCCAGTTTGATCCATGGTATATATAGAATATCATTCACACGACATCAATAAACTCCTGATCTATTTGAACCAAACTTTTGTCTTGTTATTTTCAATATGCATGCCTTAGTTATTATTGGTTTCATAAGCCATATTCATACCTTAATTTTGCAAGAAACTGAAATATTTATAGAAAGTTAGCTCAAATAAAAGGTTAACATTCTGTAATTTTTCTTTCAGAGTGTTATCTCAATCACTGTTGATCGTAATTTGTGTTATTAAATTCACCTTCTATTGAAATTCCCATAGAAAAAAAACATTTACTAGTCTGTGAATAATTCTATCAAATGGGTGTATTCTGTTATGCAATAGTAGACGCTATTTGTTTTACGTTTCAGTTTGTAACCAATAGAAATGAAATTATTTAAATAAGGTGAGAAAAGTCATCGAACTTCATAAAATATTGTCAGCAAAATGTAATATTAACTTTCCAAAACTAGCTCAAATGAATGCATGATCAGAATAATAAATCCTGAAGTGAATTCACAGTAATAAAGGTAACAAACAAATTAAGAAATTACTTTAAAATAATTTTGTTCTGATTTTGAAAATTGTACCTAGGCAAGGTGCCATTTTCGTTGACTCGCCATGTTTTTCTACTATCGTATAGTTCTATTTGATCTGTAACTGCAATTCCATTCGAGAAAGGCAAGGAAAGATTGAATTGATATTTTCACATCGAGTATGTGATTCGAAAATTACAAAATAACAAACACACATAGTGAACTAGATCACTTTTTCACTGTAAATAGAGAATGATTTTCACTATTCTGAAGTTCTTGCAGTTATTCATTAAAAATCATCATAATTCTTTGAGTTCATTGGGAGACCTTCCAATTTGTTCGATGAAACTGAATTTGAAAAATTTAATTTCACTTTCCTCTTCAAATCTATAAAAGCAATATAGTGTATTCAAGAAACAATTCATTGTGATATTTTCACTAAACAGTTTTACAAATCCGCAACACGTGTTTCGCTATAAAATAGCTTCCCCAAGCGAAAAGACACGCCTGAAGAAGCTATTGTGTGGAATGAAAAATTCTGTATATACTGGGCAATTTAAGCTAGATTGGCGTGAGTGGTTCATTTCACTCATTCAATCCACCGTTAAGATGAACGGTGGTTCGAGCCGACAGGCTGGACAATCCCGTGCTGGGAATTTCACGTTGGAGAAGGAAACCTCGATAATTTTCAGCTCCTAGGGGGTGACCAGTGGTTAATGGAAAAACAGATTTTAGATTTTACCAGATATTTTGAATTGTTAATCTTCTTCAATTCATATATTTTGTTAAAATTCACATATTGATTGTGTGGTGCAAAGAAAAGCCAGCAATATTTGTTTGCAGCATATGCAGAAATAACTTCAGTGAGGAATCCTGCTCTGACACCTATCGGATATAATCCAACGCCCTTCGTGCTATTAGCCAGGGAAGTATTTGTTTTATCATAGGTGCCAGTCTATTAACTTACAGTGTAGGTAAGTTGAGACTGGCCTTTTAGATAATTTGATCTACGCCAGAGGTTCTCGTTATACCTTTCTCCATTTATTATATGCATGTTTTCAATAACAGTTGTGATTGGAAATGTCAAGTCACTCATATGATTATTAACTTTGGACCAATTTCTAATTGAGAGGATGAAAGAATATATCAAATAAAGAAACTGGTTCATTTATCTTACAGGCTAGACGATTTTCTACATCAATATTCATTATTCTTCATCGTACTGATTCGCGAATTGAAATAAATAGCATCGTCTTCATCAAACGTGACAAATAATACTTTTAAAATACCTATACTGCATTTCATTATTCAAACCTCCTTCAGTTTTTTTATCCATTCTCAAACTGCTAGTGTTTCAAAAGGTATATTTTTTTTGAACAAGTATGTTCTGAAGGGAAAAAAATATTTTTTTATAGTATGGATTTCATTAATTCGGACTTCCATTTGTCTAATATGATATGATTTTAAATCCCCGAAAAAACTAATGAAATCGAAAATTGAAATGAACAGAATGAAATAACACATATATCAAACTTCATTTGTAAAAGTATAAAACAAAAATAAAAATTAATTGGTGCTCCGGGCCGACTTCATTGATTCCAGTGGCGCATTTGCGTTTTCAGCTGCAAGAAAACCCGGAAAAACCTGCAGCACTTCATCATCTCAAGATCTTGATCTGCTAATGCCATCTCTCTCATAAAACAATGTAGAGTTTCTTCAGAGACTCCAATAAATTCAATACATCGACAGAACACTTCGTGACACGACTATCGTCAAACTTTAACAAGTTCGTTTCATCTTTGACCAAGGCGTAATAATGACCAGATTCAACACCAGAACCATAGTAAACAATGACTGCATTAATATTATAATAGTTGTCTGCTAGATTGAAGTCTTCATCTATTTCAAACCTTCGAAAGAGTTTGGTGCTTCCGTCAGAGGTTGATTCATCAGTGTTATTATTAGATTGACTGGTGCCTCAGCTATACTTGTTTTTTTATAATAGTCAGTGAGTTTGGCGCATGTTTGGCAATACAGTCGATCATCACCTGTTAAATGATTTAACAATAAGTTTTGCACGGACTGGTTATTAGTCATATTAGGAAACGATAGATGAAATTCCAGAAATTCACATACGTTTTCGCTACCTCTTGAACATTTACTACAAAGTAAACAAGTGAAGATTTTTGCAGGAAAAGATTTACAAACACAAGACGAGATAGACTGTATGGAATCATTCAATCCAGAGCGGTCTGCTATTGTTTTGCCCATAAGAACACAGAACAATCCTCTTGTTTTCCTAACGAGTATCTAGTGGACTTCAAAGACTCCAGGAAATCGGTTGGAGGGAAATATGATACATTCTTACGAAACTGCAGCTGCATGAATAGGTGTTTGAGTTTGGTGAAATAGTAGGAAACATTCTCGTTCTCGTTCACCATTAAAACCCCGTTCTTGAAATTTTTCATCATGAACAACACTTGTAAAAGGCTATTCATGTAGCAAGTGTTTCCTAAATTACCTAATCCAAGTTTCTTTTCAAAATTTTCAGGATAACTCCAATTATGTGCAAAGACCCTGGAACTGAATCACAATAGAATTTAATGAAAGTAGAAAATTGAAAATTGAATAATTAAAAAGCAATGAAAACGAAAAGTCACTTCACGACGTTTCGTTTGTTAGTATCCACAATCGTCATGACTGTTGATTTTTATTTATTTTTATTGTTTAATTTTCAATTTTTCGCTTGTATATCATTTCATTGTAGTTCAATTTCAAGGTTTTTGCTTAATATAATTGTTACTTTCTGCTTTTCATTTTTATTTTCAAATTTATTAGTTCTTTCAGTGATTTCAAATCTTTTAATACCATATTGAACACTGAAAGTTCGAACTAATGAAATTCACCGTGATACTTGTCAACCACCTTCAAACAAAGATTTCGTCTCCCGCTCAAATAATACATTTGTTTTATTTGTGTTGAAATTAATGAGTTCATACTTTTCATAATAATCCTATAGGTCTAGATAAATGATCATTCTTCAACCGACTTTTTATAAATCCAGTGTATCGATTTGTTTATAGTTTGAATCCGGGCTCAAATGACATTTTGAACCCTTTTGAGCAAACCTGCGATACAAAAATTGGTTATTTCATATAGAAAAATAACAATGTATTTTGTGTTTGCCAAATCGTTCTTCAATTTTTTTCATTCTTTTCTGTTAACTTATAATGTGACATTTTAATTGAAATCCACTTCTATTATATCGCAAGAGTTTTTTTGATTTTACCACTACATTCACTTCTTTTAGTAATGAATATGCAATTTCAAAACATGTTTGTTTCCAATGATCGTTGAAGTTATATAACGTTTCAGGAAGTTATTCTGTCATCCAAGGATGCATATATTTCTTTTCCAATGGAAGGAACTTGTAACGGTAAACTTTGGTTCAACAAAGATTGCGAGCAAACTGTCGCCTCCAAAAATCTCACCTACCGACAGTCGCGTAAAAATCTCAGTTCCGAAAACCGAACTAGGTTTGTTAATGCTCGCAACAGCTGCAAACTTAGAATGAATGAAATCAAAGAAATTCACAATTAGAGAATTAGGGATAAACTGTTTACCAATCCCAACGGGTCTAGATGCCTCTGGTCGGAAGCTAAAGCTGTAAGTCAAAACTTCACAAAATTTATATTTGGAATAACGCAATTGAGAAACATGGAGAGTCAAAAGTTGTTGAGCTTGATATTTCTAAGGCATTCGACTATCTGTAACATGAGGATTCGCTGGACAAACTCCGATGCTATGGTATGTCGAATAATTTTTGTGTATGGCTCTCGAGCTTCCTGAAAAAATGTTACTGCAAGTGGTCGTCGATGGATATCTCTCGAATACTTTCGCTGGTGTTTCCCATGGATCTATATTGTCTCCAACCCTCTTTGTATTGTGTATCAACGACATATTGAAAAAAAAACAAGAATCCAATATATTACTTTGCTGACGACAACCCACTTGTCTCGTCATTGAATTCGAATTCCAGAACATCAGCTGCGGATGCACATCTTCACCGGCAGCAGGAGGTTGCATATCTCAATGAGGAAACCAAGTGCAATTCAATGCCACAAAAACCCAGGCATCGGTTTTCTACAAAAAAATAATGTCTCTGAACTGCTCTCTGCTTCGATAACTTTGTTATCGAAGAGAGTTAAAATGGACATCAGTTTGTCTTGGCACAATCATGTCGCTGGAATTGCAGATGCTGCTTTGAAAAGTTTGAAACACGATTTCAAACCAGAAAACTGTACACACCTCAGTAGCTTTTGATGTTTCATAAAGTTCAGATCAGACCTTCTGTTCTTGTTCTTATGTATGAAGCTCTGCCCCTAAGAAGTTGCTGGATTCCATCCAGAAAAAAGCCATCCGACTGAATAGAGACACGAACAATAATTGCAACTTCGATAGTCTGGAATATCGAAGAAATATTGGAGGTTTGTCTCTCTTTTATAGATACTTTCACGGGGTTTGTTCAAATGACTTGGCACATTTGATTCCAACAAGAGTGGTACATATCAGAAATATGCGACGGACTGTGGCTTTTCATCATTTTGAGGTTCAACTCAGTACACCTTGAACTTCACTATTTGAGAACTCTTCCATTTGGAGAAATGCTTTTAGGTGGAATAAATTTCCTGAGAACGTTTTTCCAAGTGAATTCAGTTTTCAGCGATTCAAATACAATGTGAATCGCTACTTTTGCACAGTGTGTCTTTTTCTTAAGAAAATATAGGTTTCCTGCAGGAACAAAAACTCAAATGGTTCAAAACTGATTGTTGTATACGGTGTTATGTAAAGAGTGCTTAAGGCCGACTACACACGTTCAGTTTTAACTCACAGCACACAAACATTCAATCTAATCATCTTGATCAGGTTTTACACTGGATTCCAACGACAACGACGATTTTTCCGCTTCAACAAAAATTTCATAAAAAAATTGAAATTTACGTATAATTCAAATGGAAAATGAACAAAACATTGAGGCGGTCGCTCCTGTAACAAACTGAACTGAGCAGTGTTCAGTCAAACCCCCACACACACACTCAGTTCAGTCAATCCTCTCAATTAAAAATATTGAAATTCAATTTTCTCACTTTAAATTAACAATTAAGTTCAACTGAAATTGACATCTATAACTAACAGTTATAGACGTTGAAACTGTACGGGTGTGGCCGTCCTAACCTAGCTGAGTATTCCACGTTGACAAATTCTGCAAATATCAAACTATATTGTGATTGTGGGTGGGATGCAGTGGCATCCTCTTGATTTTCCATCGAAATAGCTATTGAATATTTGATTAGATCATTGATGACGATGAGAAGGTATTCATTGAACTGATTTTGTATTTTTGTCATTTCTCGCATGATATCTCGATGCATTATTTTCCATTTATAATGTTCTGGGGTTCATGAGAAATGTGCTATATGTCCCTTGGTTACTACTACTGGGTAATATCATTATTATTGAAATCATTATTATTAAAATATATCAACAATACCTACTCTAAGGCTGCGAGCACGAAAAAGGCGACAGGCGAGGGACGCCGAGGCGACGCGACGGTGGCGATGCATACAATAACATCGACAGTATAGGTGAGGCATATAGAAAGGTACCTTGTAATATCCTCCAAAGAACGTTGGATGTTGTTCACAGTCAATGCCTGAGGGAGCAGATGTCTGTCAACCCCAGCAAAATTGTGATAATCTCCTTCACCAGAAGGAGAGAATTGGACGATCTAACGCCACTTTCCCTCAATGGTGAGGTCATTCCATTTAGAACGGAGCTGAAATATCTTGACATTGTCCTTGATAAAAAACTCACCTGGAACACTCACTTAGAAAAAGTTTTACACAAAGCCAGACTGTCCCTAAGGACATGTCGAAGGATCTATGGTAAAACTTGAGGTTTAGGCCCCAAACAAATCCATTGAATTTATGTGATGATTGTCAGACCAATGATCACTTACGGTGCATTTGCCTGATGGCCGAAGGCGAAGCTTTCTGGCTCACAAGAGACAGGCTTGTCCGGCCATCAGTGGTGCCATCAGTACCACACCGTCTGCGGCCATGGAGATCCTTCTAAATCTACTTCCTCTCAACGTTTTTCTGGAGAAAGAGGCTAGATGGACTGCAAACAGACTTGTGCACATTGCCAATTGCACAAATCAATTTAATGCAGAGTGCAACAGACTGTTGGTTGACACTGGAAGTCACAGCATTCTGGAAATGACCTCTGACTTTATCTCTTCAACTGTCAACTACGAACTGCCTTATAAAGTACTGTTTCCTGGTAGAGAAGGAAATATTAATAGCAGATAGTTGTTGGTTCACAGATGGATCAAAAACACCTTTCGGTTCTGGTGCAGGTGTTTTAGTGGCAGACCCAGCTATCTGCCTAGGAACCTATGCGACTGTATTTCAAGCGGAAATTTACGCTATTGAATTGTGTGCGGAGAGTTTGGAAGAATCCAATCTCATACATAAGGTAATAAAAATATTATCAGACAGTCAAGCGGCGTTGGAAACTCTTGGCTCCTACCGAGCAACGTCTAAATTGGTAGCAAATTGCCAAAAACGACTCTCCTTGATAGCACATAACTTAACCTATAGGTGACGCACACGAAACTAGCGGTGGTGTGCATCCCTGTTGAAGGAGTTTATCATCTTCAGGGACGGGTTAGTTACTACAAGTAATTCTTATTCATGGTTACTAAATTCTAGGTTAGTATGTGGATTAGTTATTATATATAATTTCGAAGTTAATTGGTGTTCGTTATCATGACAGTGTTCGTCTTTCGGCTGGTTCGTCTGGGTTCTGCGTATGTGAATTTTGTTTTCGAATGGTTGCGGTGGTTTTCGTGTCTCGTTGGTATGTGGTTGTAGGTTGGTGTTGTGATGGTGTGTTGACAGGCCATCCGAACCGTCCGCTATCTGACAGCTGAAGGGTATTCCTCCAGGACGTCGGAGAATTGCTCCAGTAGTTCCTCCGCTCCGAGTAGTAGTCTGCTGAAAGGAACAGGAGCTTTCTCTTCGGTGTCTTCCAGAGGTTGGCTCCGATCTCCTGGGGGCGGCCACTATCTCTATCGCAGAGAAATTGGTGCTGCTGCTGATTCTCTTGGGATATTTTTGCCGGAGCTCCTGCAAACGAGAAGGAATGAGTGGATGTGCTGTTCTGGTTATATTACTGATAGTGTTGTAGTATAGATGGTTTACGTCGACTGCTCAAAATCAGCAATTAGTGGTCACTGACAGCTTCAGAAAGCACAAAACTTGAGTATCGGTACTTCAAATGTTCTATTGAAAATACAAATTATATTCAATCGAATATTCGAAACAAAACCAAAACATTTCACCGCTGCAACCAAATGTTCATACAGATGATTGGAATGGAAAAATTCAATACATAAAAACGTTTCTGTCACCAGAAAAACCTAACAAGTCACAGGACAATAAAATGCTCTGACGCAACTCGAATGAAGTTTGTATTTAGTCTGCTCAAAGTTTCGATTACTTCAAATAATATGTATTCAATACCAAACAAGTTCAACAAATGTAAAAAAAAATCTTTACAATACACTTCCTACATAATTATTGGTTTCATTTGAAGGAATACTTGAAACAGATGCTTCATATCGGATGAAGTGAATTTCGCATTTTCCGAATGAAAATAACTGTGGTTATGACTGATCGTAATCAACGTTTCTGGTATTTTAACTGATGGTACTGTAACAAAAGAAACTACTGGTCTTGAAGGGTACTTCTCTTTGTGTAACTCCATTAATGAATAAAGTTCAGTTGGTTGTGGCTTTATCTTCTTCGTCCATGATTAAATGAATGAAATTGAGTCAATAGTGTTGGTATGGTATTTCAAGAGCAGAATTCAAACTACAAAATAATCCATATCGATGAGTTGATGCAATATTTCGAAAGTTCTTTCAGAATATAATCGAATTCCATTCACCTGATTAGTTAAACCTCGTTACTCATTTTCATTTCTTTTTGATTTCGTACTTTGCTCGGATATTTTTGAAGAAACGAATTCATTTCTGACACTGGTATTTTTTGAGTATATCTAATAACGCAGAGGACAAGTTTTTGATATCCAATATACTTTTTTGCAGGCATTCGTACACGTGTCAACAGCATTTTCGAATTGTATCAATAATCATATAGATGAAACATTTTACACGCCTCCTATTACTGGTGATAAACTTATACGTTTGGTAGAATGCTTAGATGATAATCAACTAAATTCAATAACACCAGGGTGAGTATTTTGATAATCTCAATGCTATCCAAGCAATATATTTCTTTTTGTAGACTATTAGGAGAGTATCCAAACACATATGCTTTCACCAAATCCACAGCAGAGGAACTATTGAGGAGTGAAGGAAACAATTTGCCTGTAGTTTTGTTCAGACCATCAATAGGTTGGTATTTATGATATAGAATTTCCCCTAAATCTTGAAATTTGATTATTAATAAGGAGAAATCTTATGTTTCTTCAGAATTCGTTGAATAACCGACGGTGGAACAGCTATTTCTCTAGATAAATCTCTGATGAAATTATTTGGATTCACCTCAAAGTAGGTTAATAAAATAATTTCTGTATCTTCAGATACTACAAAACGTTTTTTAGTTCTCTTCGTCTCAAAAACTTTTTCATTGTTCCTGAATCGACGATGAAGTACGACAAAAAACGCCGATTAGGTTATTCACGATATGGGAACGAATTGCTGTAGTGTTGAAGTACTCTTACGCTATTTTTCTGGCAAACCTAGTAGGATTCTAACATATCAGATTTTTCTTGATGAGAAAACGGCGTTTTGAAAAATATTCGAACATTAGTTGACAGTTACAATAATTTATGACATTGTCATAATTTTATTTGGAATTTTTGACGAATAGTATTTCAAAAAAGTTTCAAGGTAACTTGATTACTAATAATAATTTTATATCGAATGAAACACATTTTGTTCAACCGCATTATTATAACGCTCCAGTATTTTCCGTATACTTAAAGTATACGGAAAATACTGTACTTAAATTGTTTTATTTGCCAAAACAATTAACTCTTTTGTATTAATGAAAGAAATGAATATTTCAACATAAGTAGCCCATTTTCAACTTCAGGATGATATGATCTTTGTTGTTGAGATTGTTTTTACGATTCGAAATGCATGATGAAATATAGTTTATTCTATTTAAAAAAATATCATCTTATGATATTTATATGATATATGATATGATATGTGTACTATTCGATAGTCGACGTTTCGCCATCATCTCAGATGGCATTATCAAGACGAGTTACTGCTTCGCTTCGAGAGGTGTAACTGATGTTAGGTTCTTCTTGTGGTGTTTTTATATGGTTTCGCTTGCGTAAGTTGTATGGATTTGTTACCTGTTTTTCCAC